CGAATTGAGACCGTCCGATGTCTTCATGATAGCCTCATTTTTTCCAAAACCGAGAATCGATCCCTCAGACCCATTTCAATCAGGAATCACCTCATGCATGGCCTTCCGCGCAGGCCCCCGTTGCTAATACAACCCTGAAGACCTTCCGGAGCCATACCAGTACACACATGGACCACGTTGTCGCTGTCACGAAACATGATCGATATCAGCTAAATGACATACCACAGAGAAGACTGCACCAAAGTCACTTGATATTGGATTAGAGTTTTTAGCGCCTGCGGCTCGGTTCGGTTCGGGAGCCCTCAACCAATCACGTCGCATCATTCCACAGACATCCCATCCGCTCAAATACGAATTCGGAAATCACCATTGTTTACCCCTGCGCCCATGGGCATGGTTTTCGCCACACCACACCGATTTGCTCCCGGCTAGGCCCTCTACATGCGCATACACCCCGGCTAGCGACGTCGCTACAGCGCAAATACAAAAAGCTGCTACCGTCCCCAATACCTCTGACGGAGAAAGGTACGATGCTGGGGTTCCCGGATACGGTTATTTCTTTACTGCTTTTACCATTTTTCAGACGTCAAGCGTGCATGCATACCCATTTTTCTACCTTTCCACTCACCAATCATGGGACATGATTTAACGAAGGGGGGGGGTAGTGTTACGAGCGTACCCTTGACACACCCCTCAGCCCTATGGCTAGCGGGCCTTGGCGGAGGCATCCCCTACCATATCATGCCTCCTTCCCACCTACATAGTTCGGTACCTTAGTTATCTTATTCAACATACCTACATTGATATTGCATCTGTACCGGTCCTGACAAGTAATATTAGCTTTATAAAGAATATTAGCTTTATTATTAACTTTAATCTACTTATAATCTAGTAAAATTATAAATAATATTATATTAATAATTAAAATCGACTTCTACGCGAAGAATATAGCTATTAAATTAATATCTAAAAGTAGATATAAGCGAATTTTAATAACGATTAAATCGTTATAGTCGACGCTATTTAAAACGCGATCTCTTATTCTAATAGTTAACTCTTCTTTTTTAATAGCTATAGAGATATTAATAAAATTATACTTTAGAATATTATATTATAAAGAGTATAATATAACTCTAAGATAGTTATTATTATAGCTTTATCTAATATTATCTTTATTCTTCTTTAAAATAACGTTATTACTTATTTTTACTTTAAGATTTTTTTTAATATTATTATTTAATCTAATTATAATATATTAATAAAATTTAATTTAACTTAATTATTAAAGATAATTAAGCTTATTTTCTAAAATAAAATCTCTATATAAAATTACCATAATATCGAGATCGTCGATTATATATTTTAAGATATTTAAAAGAATCTCGCTTCTTTTAATAATATAGTTATATACTTCTATAATAACTTTTATTAAATTCTTTTAATTATTAAAAATACTAAATTAGATTATATCGCTTAAACTATATTAAAAACGTTTTATTTTTAAAATTATATTTAAATTCTTAGACTAATAAAAAATATAAGGCTTTAAAACTTAAATTTAATTAATTAAGATTAAATTAATATAAAGAAATTCGCTTAAAGACTATTAGATATAGATAATAATATTTTAATAAGCTTTAAAGAATAAGAAGCTATTAATTAATCTATTAAATAATTATTAGACGACTTTATTATTTAACTAATTAATATTATTTATAATAATCTTAATCTATATCGAATAGCTAATTTTTATATATTTAAGATAATTCTTTATATTCTTAATAAGAATATCGCTTAGTTTAATAGTTAAGTTCTTAATAAGTTTTTTAAAATTAAAATTATTTATAATAATAGAAATTAAGTTATTAATAAGAAAGATAGCTTTCTTCTATTTATTAAAATAATAAATACCTTTAAATTAATCTCGCTTTTACTCTATTATTTAAAGTTAAAATAGAATTATATAATAATATTATTAAGAAATTTAAAGTAGTATATAAATTTATATAATAAAATACGTCTATAAATTAAGTATATTAAGATTAAGATACTCGATTATTATATTCTTAAAGATAAATATAATAATAAATAATATTATATATTATATATTCCTCTAATTTCGCCTAATTTAAACGATTTATATACTCTTTTTCGATATATTTAATTTTTAATCTAATTAATCTTTAATATAATAATTAATAAGTCTTAAAGCTAGTTATTATAGTAGATTAATCTATATCTATATTCCGAGATTTTTATCTATAATTAATTATATATAATCTTAAATTAAGTTATTAATAAGATCGATTTATTAATTATAATTTTAGACGATTTATTAAGAAGATAATTTACTCGATTAATAAGATATATTAAAAATAAGATTATTAAGTAGATACTTCTTTTTTAGATAAGAATATAATTAATTAGCGATTTATAGTAATAGAAGTAAGCTATTTATTATATAGAAAGTAAGTAAAGTCTAATTTAATTTAGAGTTAGAGCTTTCACCTTCTTTATTAATTTCGTAATAATAAAAGTAGATTAAAAACGCATAGTAAGCGATTAGAGTTCGATTTAACTTAGGGCTAGGGCTAAAATTCCATTTAACTTAGAAAAATCTAACTTTATAAATTTAATTCATAGGCCTTTACTTATATTTTTATACTAAAATATAATCGTTTCTCGAGATTTTTTTTTTATATTTTAATTTATATTTAACTCGTAATTTTATACTATTTAGATTATTTAAATAGATAATTATTAGTTAATTTTAAATATATTAAATATTCGAGATTTACGTAATAACGATAAGCTCGACGCTAATTATCGATTATTAAACCTTATTTTTTAAACTTCGATATATAGCTATTCAAATCTTCTTCTCCCTCTTCTTTCTCTTCTTATTACTATTTTTATTAATAATCTTATTTTCTAATAAAATAATAATAATAAAGGCGTTTAAAGTAGTATATAATTAACGACTAGCGAATTTAATAGTAGAGATAATAATACGAAATCGTAGCATCTTTATAAAGTTCTTTATCTTATTCTTTAATCGTATAATTATTTCTCTTAAAATCTCTATCTCTTTTTAATTAGAAGATAATATCTAACGTATTTACTTTAATATATATAACTCTATTTTAATCTTTTTTAGAGCGTTTATAAAGATCGCTTCCTTACTCAGATTCCTCTAAATTTATTAAATAAAATAAACTCTCCGCAGTTTATCTATATTATTCTTTACTCGAATTAAATTACTTAATAACTAAGGCGCTTTAAAAGATAATCGATTAGCTATATTTAAATAAGATAATAGCTTAATTAGACTAAATAGATAAGATTAAATAAACTAATTCTAAATATACGCGTATTACTATAAAAGAAAATATTAAGATTACTAAAGTATTAGCTAATAGAGCGAATAGCCTTAAACTTATTACTATTAATATAGATTATATTACTATTAATACGCATTATACTATTATTACTAAAAGCCTTACGCTAATAAAAATAAGATATTTAATTTATTAAGTAATATATTAATTAATATTAAAATAGTAATAGAAGTAAAAATAGAAGAATTAATAATTATATAGATTTTCTTTAGAGTTAATAATCGTATAAACTTTCTTCTTAGTCGACTTAATCTCTTTATCAATAGCCTTTACCTTTATAGCTTAATTCTATTAAGATTTTATTTACTTCTATATTTATATAGATGAGTTTTCGATATTAATACTATATTCCTACTTCGCTATAGCCTTATTCTATTTAATAATTTAATCGCTATCGAGTAGATAATAAATACTATCGAGATCGTCTAATTACTAGTAGTAATATATTCTTTCTTAATAGTTAAGCTTTAAATATAATTATAGCTTTATAATCTTATAACTTTTAGATTTAAACTTTTTTTTTAATTTCTTTATCTTCTTTATATATAGTATTTACTTAGTAATAGTATTATTAGATTTAAATATCTTAATCTTCTTCTTCTATTTCTTCTTCTTATTAGATTTAAATAATTTAGAATTATTTAATATAGTAGCGAAGTTATCTAAAGAAAAGTTATTATTAATAATCTTATTAATCTTCTTTTATTTCTTTAAAAAAGATTTTTTTATAATAAAAGATTCTAATTTAGAGAAATCTTATTTAAGATTATAGATATATATAATCTTTATAATAATCCCCTTTCTCTTTTTTTTAACTAACTATTATCTTATTAGATTATTAATATTCTCTTACTTAGTAATATCGCCGTATTAACTATTTATAGTCTTAATATTTTCTAAGAATAAAAGCGTAATAATAGCGCTTTAAAGATTACTCTATAGTCTTTCTTTTTTATTTTCTATTTAATCTCTTAAATAGTCTTTAAATTAAATTTATAGAAATCAAAATATTTAAAAATAATAAAATAAATATATATCTTCTTCTCTTTTTATAGAATACTTATATTAATTAAATAAATTAGTAATTTTATAGAAGAATTAATAGATTAAAATTAGACGATAGAAGAAGAACTTTATTTAATTCTATTAGACTTATTAATAAGAAGAAAAGATTTCTTTATCGACTTAGATTTTAAGATAGATTTCTTCGATTTACGTCTCTCTTTAATAGCGTCGATAACGATTTAAGCAACCTTCTTATTAAATCTATTAGAGACTCGCTTATTTCGTATATTAGTAGCTATATTTAGTGATAGCGAGGTATAAAGAGATTGATGAAAGCGATAATATGGTGGGTATGTCTATAGTACGATTTTGGGTGGGGGGGTGCTAGCCCGAATGCTAATTTTCTAGTTTTCCAATGATTAAGAATATAGGGGTAATAAATTGATCATATAATCTCGCGTAGTTGGCCCACCAGAGGCTAACCTTAGGGCAAAATGATGTAATCAATCAATTCCTTTTGTATCTGACTGCTAAACCACACTCACGATCCAGCTTCATCAAAGATTAAGTGAAAATTCCCAACAGATTGTGTCCGTCATGGACCCAGTCTCATTGAGTGCCTCAGCTGCGGCGCTTATCACTATCTTTGTTCAAGCTGTGAAGGTCTTAAAGCAGACAATCGAGACTATTCGGAATGCTAAGAGCTTCCTTCTAAGGCTCTTGAGCCAAACGGAACGCATCCGCATTTTCCTGGAGCAACTTCGCGCCCTCACAGCACAGCTTGGGCCTCGAGCTGGCATTCTTCTGAACTTCAATGATAGCGGCCCCAAAGAAACGATCAACGAGCTTCATGCTTTCGTTCAAAGTATTGCTCAAACACCTGCGTTGATCAGGATCAAAGTACTGCTGAACCGAAGTGCCGCTGATCATTTGGTTGAGAGGCTTCATCGTCACGAAGAAGAAATTATGCAGACGTTGTTATCAGTTGCAGCGTAAGTCCCAAGCTGGAAATGATTGTTCTTGTGACTGAAATCGCCATCGCAGGTCCGCAGCCGTTAGGACGGAGGACGAGATCCGCCGAATACGCGAAGATGCGATTCTTCATTCTAGAATCACGGCCCCTTTCAGCTCTGAAGCACCTGTTGCCGTTGACGCGCCTGACCTTCAAGCCGATAACCTCAGGCCGAGAGTTTCAGGAATGGGAAATTCTGTGGTAGGCTCTGTGGATAGTCAGAAAAAGTCTAGCATACCAAGTCACTGGGAGCCGTCCATGAATGGCTTCTCTTCATTGCAGATCTCAGACACGCAGACACTGGCTGAAGAAGAATATGACGATACAATACCTCAGACCAACGATCAGAGCCATGTATCACGAATTCCGAAGGAATCTCAAGATTTTATGCAAGACCACGACCCCGAGTCAGCCATTTTTGAAGCAGATTTATTCAACAACGACGAGAGTATAGAAGTAGAGCAGCTTAGTAAGCTCCCGGTCTGGTTTGGCGATCTCTCACCTGTAGGTTTTGACAGAAGGTATCTTGCGTTGAGAGATAAACTTTCAGACGCGGCTTACTCCGGCCAATTCGAGACACTGTTCCAAGTATTAGCTGATGTGGAACACGCCTATGCGCAGTCATGGGCAAACGCACCACGACTCAGTAAGCAGTGCCTTGTCTTTGGTGTCCTACAAACGATATTCCCGAGCGTCCGATCGCCATGTCGATTGATGTGACGTAAAATTTATTCATCTCACAGCTCATCGACTATGTTTCTGAAGGACTTCCTTCTATTCATTAGTGAAGCAAACAAAGGGACTTCCTTGCTGAATGTTACAAGCTTGATTCCACCGCTGATACACAGGTATCAATAGGCAGGACACCTCAGCAAGCGTCCGGATGGATCCCTCTTCATCAAGCTGTCTACATGGGAGCATCCAAAGACCACATCACCCGCCTAGTTCGGGATTTTGGCTCTCTGCGTGAGGCTTTTTTCTTCAGCCTCAAATGTACCTCCTATCTCTCTACCATACTGCCACTAATCTCTTGCCTCCAGGTCTCCTCCGCACTGCCTGGACCAGCTCATCCGAACTTCCGAATCGTAACATGACCGCGCTCGAGATAGCTATGGCAATTGGACGCTGGGAACTCGTTGACGTGCTCAATTCGGAAATCCTTTACCCCATTTCGCACCCCATTCTCACGACATTACAAATACACTTCCATAACCTCATTCGCAGCAATTTGTCTGCGCGTCCGAACGAGCTTGCCGCCCTGAGGCTCCCGGATCTTCTAGTACTGACAGAGTTGGAACTTCCAATGATGTGGTTCCCCTTAAAATCGGAGGGACCAACAAAAAGCCCGCGAATGGAAATGAGGGATTCGGGTCCCGATATTCGAAAAGAGAGGGCTCGAGAAAGGGTCAGGGTGAGACCCGATATCTTAAGATTGACTTTCCCTGATGTTGGACCGTACTAACATGGCGATGCCGCGTAGGGATATCTCTATCGACTAGATGGAAAAGAGATTCTTGTGAAGACTTTCAACATCGAACGGGAAATGGTGAAGTTATATCGGGTTTCGGAATTCGGCCACTGTGAAATTGATAACGCGATTGCTTTCCACGTATAGATCTGTGACCTTGTAGGAGATACCAATCAATGGTCGCTCCTCTTCAAGCACGTTCCTCCGCATTTCCATTACCTACACCTCCATCTTCACGAGATATGTATTGAAAAAATACAAGAGAGGGACGAGTCACCTAGTATACGAGATTATCTAGTATCAAATTAGTATACTCTTTAAATAAAGCTTAATTAAACTTACGATCTATTATAGTAAATTAATTAAGTAATAATATTACGACGCTATATAGATATTATTAATAATAACTAGATAGATAAAGTATATAAAATAAAAATAAAAAATCGACTTATTCTTATTTTTTAAATCTATTTATTTTATTTTATTAGCGTCGATAGCGACGCTAATAGTAATTTTATTTTAAATATTATTTATATATTAATTATCGCTCTTATCGAGCTTATTATTACTACTCTCTCTCTCTTTATTATTTTCTTATCTTCTTTTTTTTATAGTTTTTATTATTATTATTATTATTATTATAATTAAAGAAATTAGAGAAAAATAAATTATTAAAGCTTTTAAATTTCGAATTAAAGTTAAGATAGAGTAGAGACGAATTTATCGAAGATAGAGAAGTTTAAATAATATTAACGTATTTATAAAATAAAATAAATATAGATAAAATAAGTAATAAGTATATATAAAAGAATAAGATAGGGCTGAGCTTGAAAACCTTGAATTTGTATGTGCAGCCAATCATAAATTCGGGTTCGCTACGCCCTTTGATTAGACCGGCTAAGTCATCGCGGGTAAACAAATTAGCGTCCGCAACCATCAAAATCTCTTACCCTACATTTAACCCTTTAATAACTTTACTATTTTCTATTAAAATCTTTAGATTTTTTTTTAAATTATAGCCCGCAACTTGCGCTTTTCAATAATGAAAAAATTATGAAATTCGGTCTTATAATTATTAAAGCGCAAGGAATTCAAATATCGCTCACCAAAGTTCGCTTACCAAAGTTCGCTCGACAGCCCTGATCAAAAAATAGATATACATTATTCGAATTTAGAATAACTTTTTTGTTTTCTATTAAAATTTCGAGATTTTTCTTTTAAATTATAAAACGTAATGTGGGCTTTCAGATAAAAAAAAGAATTCTAAAATTTGGTCTTATAGTTCTTCAAAGGTATGGAATTCAAATATCGCTTACTAAAGATCGCTCACTAAAGACCGCTCACCAAATTTACTCGACAGCCCTGATTAAAAAAAACGGTTATGAATTTAATTCATAGGCCTTTACTCGTAACTTATAGTATAACGTAATATATCGTAAATTCTTATAAGTAAATCGATTATTTTATATAATAATTTAATCTTATTAATAGAGATCTCGAAAAGATTTAACTTATATATTATTTTAAATCGAGAATTAATTTATTAATAAATTAAAAGAACTCTATTAAATTAAAGTTTAATAATACTATAGAGTGTTATAAGTTATAAAGTAGCGTTTATTATATTTCTAGTAGTTTCTAGCCTAGCGTAACTTAGCGTATTACTACTTTCTTTAATTTCGTTTCTTTATAGCTTTCTAGCATTAATTAACTACTATCATATTAAGAAATACCTTTCTTTCATACGTGAAACTACTTTTTCGAAGAATATACTTACTTCTCATACCCGAGATCTTAAGAGTTAAGAGTTAAAAGTTAAAAAGTAAAGAATAATAAAAAAAGTACTTATATATAAGTATTATTAATATCTAGTAATAATATAATCTTTATATATATAACGATTTTAATATATAATTTAAACGTATTATTATAATAATAATATAACTCTTTTATATTAATAAATATTACGCGTATATTATCTCTATTATACTTATAGTAATTATAGAATAAATAACTGACTGTCATGCCACGCTAGGAAGTTCTGGCATCAGAATCTGCAACTCAATCTCCTAGGACCAGCTCGATTCATAACATACGATGTATTGCGCCTTCCACGGGTGGGGCTCATCCAACGCTACACTCTCATTTTCTTCGTTTTTCTCGTCTCCGGGTACGTACATTTCGGAGCCGATACTTCCCATCTGGTCTTGAAGCTGAGTCGCAAGACATGTTTCGAAGCAAGCGGACCTTTTTACTCCCGAGACCTGTCTCGCAACTTCATAAGCAATGCTGACTCCGAAATCCGCGCAGCTTCTTCCATATAGTATCGGACCTCGGTGCCAATATCCCCCCAAGTCAGTCAGATGCACTACGGTTTTTCACCACGCAAGCTCTCGGTATCATGCTTGAGGACGGAGTACAGGAGACCTATCGGCACATCCGTGGAGGTGAAAGAGCTGCTTTATGGTCTAGAGTCGTGGGCTATTTTGGGTTTTGGCGTTCTTATCCTGGTCTACAGGCGTCTGGCAGTATCCGGCGATGTTGATTGCAAAAAGGAGGATGCCGGTTTCAAATCGAGTGCTTTTCGTTCGCTGGGTTCGCCGAGGAATTCATGAACTTTGCAGAAAGGACTTGATTGATGGCTTTCCGCGGCTTTTCGCATGCATGAGCTCTTCGGATTATGGCTCAAATGCAACAAGAAAGCCAATTTCCCAAACAGAGTCTTGTTTTGGCGCAGTACAATTAGACTTAGCGCCATTCGCTCCGCACATGACATGCACGCCGACTGTAGTAGTAGTAGTACTACTACATAGTTGTATTCTGATCATACTGCAGCACATGGCATAGAGAAACTTGATAGACTTGAGATGTAGAGTAGGAAAGCAGACATGGAAAAGCACGGACAAAAACTTGTGGCTTGGCTTTGTAAGCGCGCCGAAGCGAAGCACCCCTGCAGCAAATACATTCATTGAGCACATGAACGCTACCAACGACATTGAGTGCAGAAATTTTTCAATTCATAAAAATCATCTCGAGAGGCAACATGGTGAAGAAGGTCCGACTCCGATTGGGACTGAGATTGAGACTCACAATCCATCGTTTATCCTTCAATCCAAAGTCTTTTTATACTTCGATGAAACGCCTGGTGCGCCCCCGGAGTTGCCGAGGTCCAGATGGAAGAGGCGTCGAGGAGCTCCTACTGCGCTGGATGCGATAGTGTCATCTCCACCCCTCTTTTGCCTCAATTCAAACCTCCATGTGCGGGCTCAACACTACTTTCCTAATTCTAGTAACACGCATGCACCGGTAAGATGCGAAGGGACCCATGGTCTAAGCCCCTCAACACTCGAAGCTAATCTTGTAATGCAGATAGACAGCCTTCCATTCTTCTTGCATCAGCTCTAAGAAAAGACAACAATTATTGTCACCCAACATCATGGCCGCCTACCTCGAGCTTGCCAAAGACTACCATACCCCTCCTCCAGCAGGCGGCCCCTACTCAGTGACCGTTCCAGGCACGGAGCAACCGGGACGGAGTGCGACATACAGACATTGGAGGTTCAGGGATGGACTACTCAAGAGTCTGGATCCAAATGTTGGTAGAGTCTTTGCGGAATGTTTTGGGATGCCTCAATTGACTCTTCAGCTAGGTCACTAACGCCCACCAAATGTTTGAGAACACAGGTATGTCAACACCACCTAGGTGGACTTTGATATACGCTAAATCCGAGTCCTAGCGAATCGTCAACCGTCAGCCAAATGTCTTGGCTCCCGACCCTACAATCCAGCCACCAAGACGTTCGGCAAATATGAGTTCATGGACTACGCTACCGTTCAGAAGCGAAGAGCGAACTTTGGTGTTGGCATCAAATACGTGGTCAAAGAAGCTGGAGTACTGGATCAGAAATATGGGGTTGGGCTCTGGTGCCAGAATAGGCCAGAATGGCAGATAACAGGTATTGGGCCCCAACAGCTTGCGGATGGATCTGCCATCTTACATTGCTTTCAGACTTGGCTTGTATGTCACAAGCACTGTACACCGTTTCGCTATACGACACTCTCGGGCCCTCGGCAACCGAGTATATTGCCAACCATGCCTCCCTTCCCTGTATTGCAACCTCGTTACCTCATATCCCAACCCTTTTGAAGCTCAAGCCAAGATTACCCTCCCTAAAGGTCATCATATCTCTAGATCCTCTTGACGATGGGGAGAGGGAAGGGCATTCAAAGCATGCTCTGCTGAGTGCAATGGCGTTGGAACTAGGTCTTAAGATTTACTCTATAGAACAGGTGGAAGCTATTGGAGCATCTTTCGGCCCGCCTCAGTACAATCATGCATTGCCAACAGACATAATAACAATCAACTATACCTCGGGTACCACAGGGCCCCCCAAGGGTGTGGTACTGACGCACGCGGCGGCAGTGGTTGCAGCTTCCTGTGCACTTGTCTCGTGCCAACAAGGCCCTACTGATAGGTTCATTTCTTATCTTCCTTTGGCACATATCTACGCTCGAATGACCGAGCATGGCGCGCTTTGGTCTGGCGGCTCAATCGGATACTTTCATGGCGACATTCTTGCCTTGGTCGATGACATGCAGAATCTCCGTCCTACTGCTTTCACTTCTGTCCCCCGGCTCTACAACCGCTTCGGCGGTGCGATCCGCGCTGCTACAGTCCAGCAACCAGGCGTGAAAGGGGCAGCGGCCCGTCACGTAATTTCCACCAAGCTGGCAAATATGGAGCCCGCCGACTCCCCATCCGCAACAAACACGCACGCAATCTACGACCGCATTTGGGGCCGCAAGGTCGCCGCAGCTCTCGGTCTTGATCATGTGCACGACATGGTATCGGGTTCCGCACCCCTCGACCCGACTCTCCATAAATTCTTCCGCGCAGCATTTGGAAACAGGTTTGTCCAAGGCTACGGGCTCACCGAGACATATGCTCAAGGTCTTTGCCAACAGAAGGGAGATCTTTCAGTCGGAAATTGTGGCGCCTGTGCTCCTACTCTTGAGCTGATGCTACTAGACGTACCAGACATGGAGTACTTTTCGACCGACAAACCTCAACCCCGCGGCGAGCTCTGCATTCGAGGTGGCTCGCTCTTTTCCGGCTACTACAAAAACGAAGAAGAGACGAAGAAAGCTATGCTACCTGATGGATGGTTCTGTACCGGCGATATCTGTACCATTGACTCGCGCGGTCGTTTCCAGATTATCGATCGTCGGAAAAATGTTCTCAAGCTCGCTCAAGGCGAGTACATCTCGCCTGAACGTATTGAAAACATCTACCTGTCGCATCTCAGCTTCCTGGCCATGGCGTATGTGCATGGTGATTCGATGCAGACCTTCTTGGTCGCCATTTTTGCGGTGCAGCCGGACATGTTTGCGCCTTTTGCTAGCAAGGTGCTTGGTCGAACGATTGAAGCTACGGATTCGCAGGCCGTGGCTGCAGCTTGTAGAGATGTCAAGATCAGAAAAGCGGTCATGAAAGAGCTGGATAAGGTGGGAAGGAAGAATTCATTTGCCGGTTACGAGCGGGTCCGGAATTGCTACTTGATGGTGGATCCTTTTACGATTGAAAATGAGCTTCTGACGCCAACGTGAGTTCTAACCTTGGTAATTTACATCGCGAACGCAGTATCGTGCTGACAATATTCAATTAGTCTGAAGATGAAGCGTCCACCAACGGCCAAGGTGTATAGGAAGCATCTTGATGAGCTATATGCTGAAGCACTGGCAGAGGAGAAGTCGGGCAAGAACGTCCAAGCGAAGCTGTGATGAGAAATTTTGCCCTCGAGATCCCGCATTTGCATCAATAGATTTTGGCACCAATTTCCACAATGGGTTGGGCTTTCCGGCATTTCTTACATAGAGCATAGCGAAAGTCGGCATGCAACTTTTGGCGTGTGAAACATGTAGAATTTGATACACCAAGATACTCAACCCTCTTTGTGCACCAACGTCTTCATCTCCGTAGCAATTTCTTTGACAACATTCACAGCCTCCTAAGACCAGGACATCATCTGAAGCCGTCCGTGCGTCTTTTCAGCATAATGATGCCACTGCATAGTGTTCCCAGCACACTCCAACTTATGGGAATATTCCACACCGACATCCCTCAATGGGTCAAACCCCGCCGTAAACACCGCCGCCGGAGGCACTCCCTCCAAGTACTAGTACTCCAAACTCTGCACACCCAACGAAACATACTCGAACGCAGGCGTCATCCCCCTGGGCAAATCATGGTCCGCAAACGAGGAAAAATCCCATCACACCCGAGATACAACCCCCCGTGTCGTTCTCCGGTCCCGGCCGGAGTGCCGAAAGATGGGGATCCTGGGCTTCGGGTGGCAACAGCATCCGCGCCGCTACGTTCATTCTTCCCCTCGTCCCGTCCGGCGAAAGCGCGATGGCGGCCGTCATGTCCACACCCGCCGAGTCGGCCCCTCCGCAGACGAGATCGGGATCGACGCCTCGAGAGTCCCCCGCCGTCGCCGTGGAGTCCGGTCGATGATGGCGGGGTGTTCGTCGAGTTGGGTTGGGTAGAGGAATTTGGGGGCGGGGCGGTAATCCGATGGCGTAGATCTGGGTGTGTGCTTGCTGTATTAGCATGGAGGCTCTTATCATGGTTGTTGTTGTTGTTGTTGTCCTTTTGCTAGGTGGTGGTGGTGGTGGTGATGGTAAAGTAGCTGAGCACCCGACTCCTCGGCCAACAACCCTCAACCCGTTTTCAAACTCATCCACAGCCCCCCACCGTATACCCGCCTCCGTGGAAATAGATCGAGGCCGCCGCCTTGCCCTCCTTCCTCTTTCCCTCCCCTGACTTCGGATAAATTACCCGTACGGGTATCGTGCCTAGGAATCGATCCTGTAACCTCTGGTGAAGCCTTATGGCGGTCATGTTGAAAGCCAACTTCACATCGTCACGTCATTGCAATGACTTCTCCGCCTTCGACGTCATGTAATTGGTGCTACAAGTGTTGTGTATGCATGCTTGTGACAGCGAAGGATGAGGATGGAGAGCAGGTTTTGTAGAGACTAAAAGGTAGGGTGATAGGAGACGGGAGCAACGCCAATATCAGCTGGGGCCACATCGAAACATCCCAAGCGACTGCTGTTCAGAATATGGGATATATGATAGACAAATGTCTAACAATTGCATGATCTGAACGATCTCGAATTTGCGATTACATCATCGTCTATGACCACACTTTCTCTGAGATTTTCTCACATTAGATCCCTATTGCGCTCTCTCTTCTGGTGTCCTTGCCATTTGGTGCGGTTTGAAAGGAATTTTGCTCCTTTTCAGGTGTTTATTGGTGATGAGCTCGTGTCGTTCCTGTTTGACGGAATGGTGCCCTTCAAGTGCGGATCCGTCGGCTTCTTTTCCAAACACTACACTACACTCGAAATGCCCCTGTCCTTTGCCCTCTCTTCTTTTTGACAGAATCTTTTGGCAAAATTCCGCAGCGCGCGCCACACGGACATGATCATTGCCGCGCAGCCCAGACTTGTCAGGCTGATGTTCAGTCGTCAGCCAGATATGGGAAGGCATGATTTGGCACGCCGACGATATCGTCGGACTATGAAAGCCGTCAAAGCAAGACCGAGGCCAAATCTCGCGAAAAGGGCCACATAGAGAGCCTTGAACAGGCGATCAAAGTAGCCTTCAAGCAACAGCCCACCAGCAATACCAGACTCTGACCCTGTACTCTGTCGCCTTACCGATGTCGTGAAAGTCGTGGCATCGAACCCGCTAATCCGGACATCGTTGGGCCTAGGCCTAGCGATTGTCGCAGTCAATTCTTGCAGCTTCTGTGAACGGAATCTGTAGGTAAGCAGCATTACCACTACACGCAGATCCCAAGGTGAAAACTGGGGCCAGTACCATAGCTTTGACGTTCCATGTATGTCAAGCATTTCGAGGAAGTCTGCCATAATTCCCATAGTCAAACCCCACAGCACTAGAGAACGATCATTCTCAACATGCTGGGTAGGATCTCCTGTGAAAGCGTTCCTGATCATAAGATTTGCAGACTCGGTCCAAGTAGCTGGACTCCTGGTTTCAGGGATGAAGCCGCTGGCTGCACTGTTGTATAAACTCTCGGTTGGTATCAATTTAATCCCACCAAAAAGCATATAACCAGCTGTGGCCCGAGTAAGCATTTGCGCAACGTAGCCTTTCCGCGGTGAGCCCTTAGAAAGGTCCCATCGTTCAACAGTCCGAAGCGAAGGCGCCAAAAGCCCTCTCAATGCCACCCAATGGGCCGAATGCACTTCAGAAGGCTGGAGGGTTAAGGGAGGAAGGTCATGCCGCAGAGCAAGATAGACAAATGGACAGAGTACCATTAGCCTGCGTAGTTGATCAGAAACAGAGACATCGAGCAGAAACAGAAAACCCACGGCGTTTTACCCCAAGGTGACTTGATTATCCTCTCAGGCAAATTGCCGACTTCAAGACAATGTTCACTGTCAAGCTCAAGGCCCGTCTCTTCCCTTGTTTCCCTTGAGCTTGTTGCACGATCATCCAAATCAGCCGACTCCCTCTTCCCACCTGGAAGGGCAATGTGACCAGTCCATCTGTCGCCTACCCTAGCAGCTCGTTTGATAAAAAGAACCTCGGCATCTCCTTCCTGGACCCATGCTTGCGAGAAAAAGCTGTCCAAGCATTCCTGGAACGGCTGGGCTACTGAGGAGCATTGATTCTTGTCGTAGACTGCCTGGTGAGGGTATGTGGGTCGGATTCGTAGAACCAAAGCGACTGCTGCCCGTTTCGTACATCCTGGAGGATTTGGAATTTGGGGACAATCTTCTTGGTGAATCTGCTCAAGTACGGCTTTGAGACGAAGAGGATGCGAGCCTGGAGCCTCGGGTCCGCTATCAACTAGTCCCATTGTTGCAGAATATCATGTGCGGAGGAGGAACAGGATAACAGATATTCAGGAAGTCCGTCAACCGCGCCTAGCGCGCTTCTCCCGGAGAAACCTCCGTACGCCGAAAGTAAATTACAATCTACGTCGGAGCGCCGTTCTTTTCCTGTGCACCTTATTGAATTGTTTGGAAGTACCTCCTGGTGATCTCTGAAGTCAGTCTATTTGATCTGGTTTTGAAGGGCGATGCGGTAACCGTTGCCGATACGACTGTCGCTGAAGCAGCAATGCTTAGGAGAGGAGGGAGAGGAGAAGGGAGGGGATGTGCATAGGTTTTCAGAACGACCTTGGCATAAGTTCAGGCAGTGGATTTCCCACGCCATGCTTTGCAATTTGAGCGTGGTTGACGATCAGAACGATGGCGCGAAAATTCTACTTTTTCTTATATTACACCAGCACACGCGCGACTGACATAGCATGCCTCGGGTATACTTCCTATCAAAAGACAGTTTTCCGCTTGATCTGGTTATAACGTTCTCAGCATCTCCGGATTTGAAGAGGAAAGCGACTCTACTTGTCCTCATGTTATATCACCACACAGGCAACCAACATAGCATGCCTCGCGCATAATCCCCTTATACAGACAGCTTCCCACTCGATCTGGTTGTAAAATTCCCCTGCATGGTAGTATCATTGTTCCTCAATAGACCTATTCAGGACGTCGCTGTCACCGTCGTTATGGCTTTCCGAGGTGTTTTGAACCTGGGTCCCCATGGTTTAGGCCCATGAAACCCCCTTTATTGGTGGGGAAACTTGTGTCTCCGACCATTTTAACCCCCTTATTAGTGATGACAATCTGTGTACTTACGTAGAGACAGACACAAGTTGGGTCTCCGACCATGGGGATGATATTGGGGCCCAGAATAGTTTAGGGGAAAAGCATTATAAGCGACGCGCTTCTCGCGGGGAAGCTCCCTCCTAGTCGCTAGGTACCCCGCCAAAAGCAAGTAAGTATGCTCCCATCTCTGGATCTCTTCTATTAGCATTGCACTCTTACCGCTGATGCGTCTACGGGTGCGCTGTATTGAGTGATTCGCTTCCTATCACAATGCGTTTCGGCAAGACATTGAAGAAATCGATCTACGAGCCGTGGGCCTCCAACTACATTGACTATGCAAAGCTAAAGCAGCTTCTTCGGGAAGATGATCCTTCAGAGGAAGAATACGGAGAGTGGACCGAGGATGATGAGGGTAGATTCGTGGAGGAACTCGTCAATGTTCAGCTAGAAAAGGTCAATGCCTTCCAAGCCGAGACGTACACACGCCTCCGTGAGCAAACCTCCGATTGCGAGACTCGACTTGAAAAAGAAGCAGGATCAGAGACAAAGGGCGAGGAGGCTTCGGGTCAGAATCATGACCAAGACGAGAAGCACGACGAGAAGCAGGACGAGAAGCAGGATGAAAAGAAGGATGAGAAGAGCCAGGAAGACGGCAAGCTGCAACAGGTGCTCAAGGAGCTGGACGGCATCATGAAGGAAATCAACGAGCTAGAGAAGTACAGCCGTATCAATTATACCGGCTTTCTGAAGGCTGTAAAGAAACACGACCGAAGACGCGGGTCAAAGTATAAGGTCCGACCGTTGCTCCAAGTCAGATTGGCAGCATTGCCTTTCAATTCGGAGGATTATTCGCCCTTGCTCTACAGGCACGTGACACAATGATCCATCACTCCACAAGTCGTTTGGATTGAGGCTCATGTCGATACTAGAATATCTACGATGTACTCATTCATTAGACAGAGAATGAATGGTAGTAATGAAAGATCCAAGTCTTTGGCAGGGACTACAAGCGGCAAAGAGACTTACACATCACACAAATGCAAGTGGCCTGCCAAAACCATCGTGCAAAGGCATCCATGCTGACTATGACTTCAGTCTGGGTACACCCTGAGAATCTCCTCGAAGTCAAGACGTACATTCTGCGCCGCCTTCCGGTCCTAGTTTATAACCTCCGGACATCCAAGGTTGTGGAAAGTGGCCAGTCCGACCCTACCATAACTTCATTATACTTTGACAACCCCCAATTTGCCCTTTATAATAAGAAAGTCGAAAAGACTTCAAATGCTTCCTCTTTAAGGCTCAGGTGGTTTGGCCAGCTTGATGAAAAGCCTGAAATCTTCTTCGAAAAGAAGACACTCGAAGAAAGCGGAGATAGCGAAGATTCCCGCTTCCCTATCAAGCAGAAGTATATTCAACCCTTCATCAAAGGCGACTACAGGATGGAGAAGAGTGTAGAGAAGCTCCGAGATCGGGAAGGCACCGAAGGCAATGGCGTTGCCAGCCTCCAGCGGAGTGTCGAAGACATTCAACAGTTTATTAAGGATTACGAGCTGCAACCTGTGCTGAGAGCTAACTACACTCGCACGGCGTTCCAGATTCCTGGCGATGACAAGGTGCGAATATCCATCGACACCAATGTGGCTTTCATTCGAGAAGACTCGCTTGATGAAGATCGACCGTGTCGAGACCCCGAGGACTGGCATCGTGGGGATATTGACAGACTTGGCATTAAGTACCCCTTCTCCGCAGTCAGGCAAGGAGAGATCTCAAGATTCCCACATGCGCTCCTAGAGATCAAAGTGAAAGATGGTTCCAGCAAGAAGACCAATGACTGGGTGTCGGAATTAATGTCGTCACATCTCCTCAAAGAAGAACCAAGATTCTCAAAATTCGTTCATGGGGTGGCCCAGCTTTTTGAAGATCAAGTCAACAGCTTCCCCTTCTGGCTAAGCGATTTGGAGACAGACATTAGGCAAGATCCCGTGGCTGCCTTCCAAGAGGAGCAAGAGAAGAAGGCCAAGCAAGCGGAAGACCAAACAGCGGTCGGCAGTTTTCTTGGATCAAAGTCCGTCCCTTCGTTCAAAGCTGCGGTAGGATCCCCAGCAGGTAAAACAGCCACCGACTTTGGGAAACGAGGATCAAAGACCGGCACCGAAGACGTCGCTGAAGAGGCCGACACTGACGATGAAACCGATCAGCCAACTCATTCGGAGCCCGGCGTTCTTTCCGGTCTTCTTTCCTTGTCGCCTTTCTCGAATTCCAAGTATGCACGCGCACATCGACAAGGATCGGTGCAGTTGCCTCCTGGAGTCAGAGAACCTGGCAAGCTCATTAAAGATATGAACCCAGTCCGAGTGGAGCCTAAAGTGTGGCTTGCAAACCAGCGGACATTCATCAAGTGGCAGCACGTATCGGTGCTGCTGGCTTCCCTATCTCTCGGTCTGTACAACGCGGCTGGAGAATCCAACAACGTCGCTCGGGCCTTGGCAGTTGTCTATACTCTGATTGCGCTCTTTGCTGGAGCCTGGGGGTGGTGGATGTATATCGTCCGCAGTCGGATGATTCAGGAGCGTAGCGGCAAGGATTTCGACAACGTGATAGGTCCAATTGTCGTTTGCATTGGACTTGTCATCGCTCTATGTCTCAATTTTGGGTTCAAGTATCAAGCAGCATCGGAACAGAAGGGACATGACGACCCTGCAAGTCAGATATTGGGTTTGTTAGATTTGGCGACCGGGAACACGTCTGACTGGACCACAGCCATACATCAGGAGTTGCGCTGATGGTGTAAAATTGTGGTACATCGAGAGTGAAGTTGAGAAATAAGACCGTTTCTCCCACTAAACAAGCAGGGTTTAGGAATAAAACCCCGTAATTAAGTATTTTCTCCAATATGATTCCATGTGTGACACGAATGAGGAGTTGTAAATCTAAAGAGAGATGGTCTACCTGGATTGAACCACTTCCAGTTCTGATTATGCATGTGCAAGCTGCTGCAATATGCTAATGATTTTAAGTGACTGTAGTTACATGAGAGCTAGATCAAGTGATAAGTTGAGATTTTCTTTGCCACCGAGGCCTCATTTCCCGGTCTATTTACCATCGATTTCCCATCTGTTGCCATTTCCATTGCTTTTGCTCCAAAACTATGATACGTGCTGACGTGAAAGGAGGCGCAAGCACTTGATGTGTACCACGCCGAATCACAGCAATCAACATGTCATGGCCACCTCATAGCTTGAGTCGAGAGTCTGAGCTTCCTGAAGAAAAAGCTGAGCTGCTGATTTCTAGAGGCGCCGCCTTCTTCGGAGGTCTCTTCTTACAAGCCAATCATACCCTCATTCGCCAACCTCGCTTTTACGCGACTGTGAGCTTTGCAGCTGCTGGAAAGCATTTGGAAGCTTCTCCTCAGCCTAGCGCCACTCTTGTAGACGCGTCGCTTGTGTTGAGTGGCCAGCCTCTCGAAAAGCCCAGCATGGAGCAATGTTTTGGCGCGCTACCAGGAACAGTCACACTCAATCGCTACATAAACGCGATCAGCTGTCCTCGGCATCCGGAACGCTTGCCCAAGTATGAAATCCAGCCTCGCGCCATGGACAACTTGCTCGTGCTACAGCGCCTGCACTACTTGATGAGGAATGGCTGGGACAATGACGTAAGCTAGAGGGAACCTCTCACTGATTCGAGAGACACTGATAGGTACCGGGGTCTAGATCGAGATTGCGGAGGAATTTCTGTGCACACAGCTTGTCTATGACCCTCTCTGGCAGAAAGGAGCACCTCCGCAGCTGGCGAGGCAGATTATGGTTCTCATCGCTGCATTGAGCAACCCTAGTTGGATCGATTTTCGCGAGCCCACATCTCAGGTACTAGCAAATTATTACGACACAGAGGACGTCGACGTGGAAAAGCACTTCTGGCAACAGCTGCTTCTGAGTGTTGAACTCGACCTTCGTTTGCGGGCAGCAGGAGACCAGGAACATTCCATGATTTCTCACGTCCCTGACAAAGTCGCTTGGGACCTCGCATTGAGTAAGGTCTGGCTGTCGAAGATGGCTCTGGTGCCGATTGATGAAGGTTTTTTGCGACCTGCTACCCATTTTCATGTCACAGCTCTCACCAAAGATGCTCAAAGGGAGAGGCTCCTAAACTTCGCACGCAGCATGAAGTGGGTGGGCATGCACGATGTTGAATCCATGCTCGAAGAGGACAGCGATGGTGGCATCCCTCTTGAATTCCAAAACGCACATACATCTTCCTGGATCACCGGCACGATTTTACCGGGCCCATCCGTATGTTGGCTAGCGATGAGATGCCTGATCGACTGCGATGCTACCATAATCAACCCGCCCCATGGCTTCGACAAGATGGAGTCCAATTTCGGCTTTCAGTACGGCGGCTGCACCTACTGGTACTTCCAGAACATTGTCGGAAAAGTCTTGGGGGCTTCGCGAGGCGTCAACCAGGACCACGGCTGGGTTGGTCCCTGCATTCCCAGCGATGATCTCTTCAAACTTCAGACAGTGCTCATACGCACGGAAGACGTCCCCGTCAAACCGAGCAAGAGTCGTGTGCAAAAAATGGCAGCACGCAGCGCGCCCCTCGGTCCACCAGCTCACCGCTACCCTGTCCGCGACTACGTGCTGCCACTACCAGACTCCACCAACATCGTCGACTGCGTCAGAGTCCAAAAACTAGCCTTCAACATGCACTCCCTTCCAATCTCAGCCGATGACCCGACTACCTACGACGCAGCCATCGTTTTCGCCATTGCGAACGAGATCGTCCCCATCCGCCTCCGCTACAACGTCTCCTTCATCTACGCCCCTCCCTGCTGCGGTCAGCATCCTCTGTTCTGGGACTACGCATACCGAACCACCAAAGTGGACGAGCTCCTTCTGGATCTCCGATGCTGGAACGGCGTCTTCGTCGATGCGAAGACACCCAGCGAGAACAGCGGCTGTGCCTCTAGCTCTACGAGCTCGAGCGGTGCGGACGCCAAGGGCAAGAAGATGCCGGCACCCGAGTCCATCCTTGTGGTGGAGGCGTACGGGGTGGAGGATAATGAGGTCTTGGCCAGAGCGTGGGCTTCGCATATTGGGTTTTCGGCCGTCGTGGCGACTGGCGGGGAGACGTAAGTGCACTCTTTGGAGCGATTCCCCCTCCCCACCGGTCTATACCATGGGTGAGTCCCAGGACATGGCTTGGGGGGAAATTACTCATAATGTTTCCCAATCTTGCTCGACTTGAGTTTTCTGCTTCGACGAAGTCATACTGACTCCGAAATGGGCAGGTGTGTGGCATGTGCGGTTCGGATGGCTTATGCGGCTTCGGTACATATGGTCATTTTGGGGGAAGGATGTAGGGAGGGCGATTGACCTGTGTAGAGCTTTAGGGGGAACGCTGGCGGATTTTTCGAACATGATACCCTCTTCTTCGCTGCAGCCGTGGACTTCTCACGGTCCCTTTTTTCCAGGGGTATGTAATTCTACGTCTTTACGTTGAACGAATCATGGAGATTTTTGTCCGATCAGGTAGTCGATCAATAGTACGAGCATTAAGACAAGATGAACAAGTTTCAGTATTGTATTTACCAACTGGATTTCGAAATCCCGCTCACCGCCATGGCTCTGTGACCTGGACTGCCGCGATACTCCATGACCTATGTACAATGGCTCTCGTATTGGGCCTTCGCCCAAGCCCGAGCTTCGCTTCCTAGTCAAAGGCCCCGTACTTTCTTGGAATCAATTGGTATCATTTCTGAGCTCCCTCTTCGCCTTTCTCCTTGTCCTCCTTTTTGTCCACGACATCCATCTCTTCTTCACTTGACGAGGATTTGGACGAGGATTTATCGCTCGCCGAATCTTCCTCGATCTTAAATCCCTCACTCCTTTCGACCAAGCTTCGATAGTAGTCGACCAGCACCTCCGGCTTCGGTACAATCCTCCACTCCACCCTCCACAAGAACTCCAGTTCCAGCAAGGCCAATTCCTTCAAACTCACACCGCCTACTCGAGCGTATGTGTTGTTTGTCCAGAAACTGTCGCTAAGCCCTTTGCTTGCTACCGTAGCGCTTGTGATGAGGAATCGATGCACTGTAAGGGATGAAATAGTAAAAGCAGGGTAGAGGGCGCATAAGCGGTCGATATAGTATACCATACTCAGCAATATTGGTGGGGAGAGCGTAGCGTGTGTCGTCAGTCGTTGTAAATAGTCCTTGACGCCAATGCCGGGAGGGGCTCGAGAGTGGAATCTGGTCAGCCGGCCATCTTTCAGTGGGATTTCGTCATTGAATTTGATCAGCTCGAGGAGCATGTTGCTAATCAGAAGTACCAGATCTTTCACATCGCAGGTTTCATACTGCAACGGCATGAGCTTCACCCTGGATCTGAGGTGGCGGGCACGTTTTGGTGAGGAGCCTTGTGAGGACGAGGAAGATTTCGCAAGTGTAGTTGAGGATACCGAAGCAATTTGTGGATCTGCGACGGCTTCAGCAGCACGCTTGGACGGCAGTTGCGGTTCCAAAGCGGGCTCCGGTGGTGGCAGTGCTGGTCGTGGTGGACTGGGAGTACCACGCCGCTTGCCCGCCTTTCTGGGAGGATCGGGCATTGGCGCGCAGGGAGGAGAGTATTGTGTACCTGCATCTACTGTAACATTCTTTGTGGAAGGTGTAGATAGATATCTTTTATGCGGGTTTGCGGTCACCGTAGGCGACTGAGAGACGTGCCGTGGAAAAGCTGCTGGGGAAGGCGGCTTAATGAACGGACGTGGGGAGTGTGAGGAGGGAAAGCGAAATGTTCCATCGTAGGAAGATCGTGGAGAACATGATGTGGTGCTGCTGGCGTGGATCGTTGGCGAGGGAGAGGAGGTTATCATCTCAATATCAGAGGTGGAGTGGCCGTCGCCACTACTGCCACTACTGCCACTGGCGTTGGAGAGAGGACTCCGCTGTAAGAAAGTGCCGTTCGTCTGGGCGAGGAAGTCACGCGCATACTTGTAGAGGCGAGTGAGCAAGGTGCGTTCGTCGTATGTACAAGGGACGAAGTCGGAGTAGCAGGATTCTCTAGCAGCGTATGGATTGTACCACGAGCCGTTGGAGTAATAATGTCGTGCCTGGCCAGAGTAAGGCGGTGGGTGATGCTGACGCCGGCGGATACCCGTGGGCCGCATGCCGTTAGTGTGGCTTGGCATTATCTAAGGTAAGGTAGGCGTGGGTTTCTTATCAAACTCTAGAGTAGTTGAAGAATCGGATGAAAACGCTTTCTCTCTCTTCGGCGCAAGAGAATAAATCTCAAAGTCAAGGGTTGATGTTCAGACTATCATGATTGTTCTTCTAATACCTGAAGAGATAAAGGAAAGGGCAGAGAAAGACTACTGTATGCTGTTCAGACGACCAAGATCCACATATCTAGCACATCCACTTATTATATACATCTCCAGGTGGCAACTTAATAGACCTCTCTTCCGCTGTAGCCTTGCGCAACGTCTTCGACCTTTCGTCAACTGTTTGGAGAGCTCCTTGACATGTACCCCAGATTGTCTCCCTGCAAAAGCTTGAGCATTGCGGGAAGCGCACCGCAAACATAATGTCTAACGACAGGCGAACTGTGTTCCGCATTCACCGAGGGGCTGCCGTTGAATGCGTAGTGCGAAGGAAGAAAATCTAGACACCAGTGCCACAGTGACAAGGAAATTGTTTGTGTTTCAGATGTTGATCTGGAGAGAAAGAGCCGCAAGATTATTTATCATAGCGACCCATGTTAGCCGCCCGGCAAAATGATCAGGTCGGATGGTTACCGTAGCCAATGACTAGCATGAAGAGGCCCACGTGCAAAGCGATCAGATCAAAGAGAATTCGAGCAATGACAACTTCGCTGAACTTTGTTGAATTGAACCTTGTAACGGGTCACGGAAGGAGAAAAAGAAAATGAGCACTTCGCCGTTGAACAACTGCTCAGTATTCTCAGCAAAAGGGCTTCTTTCAAATGTAGCAACGCAAGGTGGATGTCCGTCAGATAGAGAGTATACATGTGCAGGTAGTCGCAGACAAAAGACTTTTTTTTCTTATATAATTAAGTCGTTTGGGATAAAGAGAGACAGATGGTTTCGGCAAGTCGGATTTACCCCGGATTCCGCTAACCCTACAGAGATTAGCGTGGCTGAATATGTCAACTTCGTCTACAATTTACTGGTGTAAAAGTACATCTACGGTATGCACTCGACGTGGTTTGATAACCTCTGGCGCAAATAATATATACCTGGGTCAAGCTGCGCAGATTCGTTGATCAAAGCTGCAGGACCATCTGGATCAGATCTGGCGGCAGCCAATTTCACGGCCTATCCTAAATTTCCCGGTCACGCTTCTGCACTTTCCGCCGCTGGGCATCATCCCCAACTACTAATTTGACTCACTGTACATTCATTGCGCTTGCAGCGATTTATTATTACGTTTTGATCGACTTATACCCCCATATTCTATGACCCTTCATACTCGGCAAGCTTATCCCATCCGCACCTGACGCTCCTGCACTGCCCTAGGCATGACACGACCATCGACCCCTCCTATCCTATCTGAGCTACGAAGTGCTTCTTCCCCCGCCAGTCAAGTTGCAGCATTACGGGCTCTCAAAAATGAAGTCATTGGACACGAGCAGAAGAAGGAGATGTGGGTTGGTCTCGGGGTGCTGGCGCCTATAGCGCGTATCTTGAATACGCACAAAGGAAATGGGAAGAGAAGACACCGAGATGTCAACAGCAGTACCAATCAGTCCAAGCAGAGGGGTGGCAGAAGCGACGAGGAGGAAGCTCGACTCCAAGCAATCATCATTGTCGGTAGCTTGGCACATGGTCAGTAGGGAACAGCTGCTCTCTCGAAGCTTCTCGCGGATTCAATTCTGACATTGCAATGGCCAACAGGCGGTCCAGGTTACGTCTCGCCTATCTTTGCTGGACTTGTCATATCCCCCTTGCTCGCCCTACTCTCGCCCGCAGAGTCTTCACCTCACCTGGTATTAAATGCCTTGAGATCTCTCAATGCTGTGGCCGATTCGCTCTCCCTATCCTATTCAGATCATGGTACAAGTGAGGATGGCTTGCTCAACTTACTGTATACGGAACAGCATCTGCCAACCATAGCGAATTTGTTACTACAGACGTCGCCTTCGTTAGTAGTTCAACAACAGATTGCTCTGACAGCGGCGCTGATAAGTAAAACATGTCCAGACGAGCACCATCAGGCAATGCTGGCTCAGACCGGGGTCTTGGAAGCCCTTGCGGTCAGGCTGGCATCCTTCGTCGTGACTACCGGATGTTCTCTCAACACTGGTAATGGAGGATCCAAATATATCGGCGATATTGCTCCCGCAACCTCAAGATCGAGGATATCACCAATATTGCAAGCTATTGGAGCTATTATTCAACACTCAAAACCCAGAGCTATACAGTTCCTGAACGCGCCAGCCTTCGCTTCTGTATTCCAAAAACCTGACGCGGATGTCACTTCATCATTTGAAAAGAAGCCCACCGTTTGGGGTCCTAATGCTTCCAACATGTTCAATGTCCGCCAGACACCTCCCAACGCCATTGATGTTCTGATACCTCCCCTTCCAAGCACCCATTTCCGGAGCTCCTTGGCGCCAAATTCTAGTTTCCCTCCTCTTGGGGCTCTTGGGTCCTCGAGTAAGCAAACCCAGATGTCGAGAAGTTTTAGCTCTGCTATTGAAGTCATTCAGAGCCAAGGACTCGAATTCATAGAAGAAGAGGAGAGCACTCTGATCGCATGGCTGCTGTATATTGCTAGAATAGAGAATGAAGTAACGGGATTGACGGCCGCTCGGGTCCTCGCAATCCTGTACCAGCACGGATTGACGAAACGCGGCCGAGAGGCAGCATTTGCGCTCCTACTTGTACCTTCGCTTGTACGCATGCTGGACAAAGATTCGAGGACCTCAGACGCTTCAAATACCTACGACACCAGCCTCATTGCTTCTCCTGACAGGCTCGTTAAGGAGCAAGCTCCTTCGGTCTTGGCTATGCTCGCAGTGAATAGCTTGGAGATACAAAAGGCGGCAGCTGATGCTGGAGCTATTAAGAAGCTGTCTCAGCTTCTTAAGGAGTCATACGATGAGATGCCAGCCAATTCTTCAGTGGCTATGTGGACGCCGGAGTCATCTACTTCTAGACATTCTGAGGGCCGAGATGACGGCTCAAAGCTTGGTTCTGCTGGACTGTCAGCTACAGCTTATCACGTGATGAGGCTGAGGGAATCGGTACTTACCGCTCTTGCTGCTATTGCCTCGGAAAAGGACGATTACAGGAGATTGATTATAGACAATGGAGTCGTACCCTTTGTCATCAAGACTCTGAAACCGGAAGAGAGTGAGACTGTTGCGCAAGCCGATGGCCAGGCCGAGGGGACTTCGCGGTATCGAAGAGCGTTCACAGGAAACTGCAAATATGCTATTTTGGCTGCTTGTGGAGCAGCCAGGGCCTTGTCAAGATCAGTCAGTACATTGAGGACGAGCCTCATGGATGCTGGTCTTGCAGCCCCTCTCTTTGTTTTGATCAAGTGCCAAGACATGGAGCTCCAGATTGCAGCAACTGCCGTTGTGACTAATCTCGTCCTCCAATTTAGCCCCATGCGAGAGGTTCTTATCTCTGTATCCTAATATTTCTTCCAACTTATCCGCTGACCAAATGCTAGGCTATTATGGAAGCTGGTGCATTGAAGATCTTGTGCGAGCATGCTCATTCGATGGATGCAAAACTGCGTCTAAACTCAGTATGGGCGCTTAAGCATGTTGTGCTTGAGGCATCGAACGCTATCAAGATGAGCTGCCTAGAGGAGCTTGGACCTGGCTGGTTAAAGCAAATAGTCAACAATGACGTCGAGGCTTCAAATCACGGCATGACGTCGAGGAGTGGAGATCGCGAGGATGGTTCGTCGACTCCAATTAGGATGAGTACCCCCAACGCCGCTGGCGAGCAAGTGGACCTACTCAACGCGGTCGAAGAAGATTCCCGAGAGTCTAGTCAAGATGTTGAGGAGGATGGTGAGGAAGACCTCAAGATGGCCGACAGCATCGGAGCTTTGAGCAGAGCAGAGCTGGATCGAAAATTGTATTCGCATTCGAGCAGTGGCCGCGGCCCAATCTCGGAGACCGCAGGTCTGACAGGTAGGCGACCCTCCTCACAGCCGGCGCTCACAGACGAGCTGGCGATACAGCAGCAAGGTCTGGACTTCATTCGAAACCTCATCTGCGGATCAGGTGCTTCCGATATGATCGAGCACATCTTCAGAGAACTTGGTCAGGATAAAATTTTCGAGCTACTGGCCACGAAGCTGAGACCCAGAGTGTTCAACGCCTTCAATCGCGAACGAAGATCATCTGAAAACGGAGTGCGGCATGTCCAACCACAGACTGGCATTGTTGTCTCTGTGTGCTACATCATTGTCCACATCGCTGCAGGGAGTACACGCCAACGCCAACTGCTCATCTCGCAGACAGAGCTCTTGAAGCTTATTGTCCCACTCTTCAGCCACCCAAGCAAGGATGTCCGCGCTTGCTGCTTGTGGATTGTCATCAACCTTACCTGGATCGATGACGCATCTGACAACATGAATTGCAAGGCGCGGGCTCGCGAGTTGACGAAGCTTGGGGTATCTGAGAAGCTGGAGCATATGGAGCATGATGCTGATCTGGATTGTCGAGAGCGTGCACGGACTGCCAAAAATCAAATGTCGACCCTGCTACGGCAATAGAGTGGTTGCTGCTCTTACAGCTTCCCGGACGCTGAGGGTACATTTCCTCAGGACGCATGTGACGCCATTGCGGTTCTGATGACAGCCAAATGTCGTTGTGCATCTAGCTCGTTCGTTTGGCGTTTGTGCACTCGTTTCGAAGGGTGCTTTTCCAGCAATGTACATACTGTATGACTAACGTGAGCAAGAACGATCATTGGGTTCGACGATTCCACGACTTTGACTGTGACGCACTCTTGTTGTATCCCATACATTGTTTCGCTTTGTTGATCATAGCTTGCCTTGACGGTTGGCTTTTCCAACGAAACAACTCTTAGATATTATCTTCTTTCCGTGCTTTCGAGTTCTACGACTACTATCCTGTCGGACATACGATGATAACATGTGCCTTTGCAGCTTTGTAGGGTTAGGGTTAGGGTTGCTATCGACAAATTATTTTGACGTAGATTATAGCATTCCTCCTTTTGTACTCTTAATATTTCTCAATTGCCTCGTAGACGTGCATACCAGCAAAATGAAAATCGACTCTGCAGTCATCAAGGCATTGAGCCTCGACCCAGTCAGAACAACAGTTGCCCGACACGGAGGATCCGGGTTTTCGACCACTGCGAAGATTACCACGACGCTGAAAGATGGCACTGAAAAGCACTTTTTCATGAAGACGGGCAAGGGCAAAGACGCCGAAGTCATGTTTGCAGGTGAACACGCCTCGCTTAATGCGATTCACATGGTGCCATCACTATGCCCTGCCAGCTTCGCACACGGGCCCCTTGAGGACGCTGCAGGGGGTGCATTCTTGGTCACGGATTTTCTGGATATGAGTGGAACGTCGTTGGGGAGCGAAAAGGGGTCTGGGATGTCATTGGCGGCGAAGTTGGCGAAGCTGCACACCACGGCTGCTCCGATTCCAGAAGGCTTTCAGAAACCTGTCTTTGGCTTTCCGGTGCCGAGTAAGTGGAAGCATCATGCAACTATCAAATTCTCCCTGACGCGCCCCTTTACAGCCTGCTGCGGCGACACAGAACAGCCCAACGACTACACAGAGTCCTGGGCCGATTTCTACGCCCAACATCGTCTCCTGGCAATTCTGAAGAAAAGCGAACGCACGAACGGGAAGGACCCTACCCTTCGCTCTCTGGTAGAAAAGACGGTCGCAGAGACCGTGCCGAGACTCATAGGAGACAAACACCTAAACAGTGGGAAGGGAATCAACCCTGTCGTTGTTCACGGCGATTTGTGGAGCGGGAATAAGGGAAGAGGAAGAATAGGTGGCAAAGGGGCTGTCGAAGACGTCGTTTTTGATCCGAGTGCTTGCTATGCCCATAGCGAGTATGAGTTGGGGATAATGAGGATGTTTGGGGGGTTTGGGGGAAGCTTTCTGAAGGAGTATCATCAAATTTGTCCTAAGACGGAGCCGGTGGACGAGTATGAGGATCGGGTCAATTTATACGAACTGTAAGTGTGATCAGAAGGCCTGCGAGGATGAAGCTAATCTGAGAGTAGGTATCATCACTTGAATCATCATGCGATTTTCGGCGGGGGCTACAAGTCTGGGGCTGTTTCGATTATGAGGGCTTTGCATCGGAAATTCAGTGGGAAGAGTGAGATCTGACGAAGACATTCTCCAACGGACCAATGCGACAGATCCAAGCAAAGTATTGAGCTGCAATCGCCTGTGTTCCAGACGCAGGCTGACTCCATTTCGAAATGGGGCTGGCTGAATGAGGAAGGTAGAAGCTATTCGTTCACATCCATGAACCTCTTCGCTACCTTTCTCCAACCGAAACCATGTCAGGATTTGCCCAACGTGGCGTTCACCACGCTTGCTTTACCAACGCTGCTCCCTAATTTCAGCCCTCGCAGATCAGAGGCTTTTACGAAACCTCGCCCGCGCAAAAAGGGTCCTCGAATCATACGCACACCAATTGCTCTACTTCCTCTCACAGATCGAAGAGCCAATTTTCATCGACCTCACTGGCGCCTGGGACCCTTCCGAACAACACTGGAGAGACTTCATCCCATCACCCGCGGACCAGAACCTTCTCAACCTTCGCAAAGACCAAGGAGCCGTCGGATACCTCTTCCACATCGACATTCCTCGATCATCTCTACCACTCCACGCGCCCGCCATATCAATTGTCCGCCAATCTGTCAACCCTGGACAGCGAGAAATCTACAACATGATGAACCATTCCGCGAAGCGCTTATTAGGAGTGGTCACCCAGCAAAAAGCGACATCGCATGGTATAAATCATGTTTGGCGCATAGAGAAAGAGGATGAGGGCAAAAGGGAGGAAGTGGTGCGGTTTGCAGGATGGACTAGAGTGTGAGCTCTCGAGGACGTTGAAAACACCAAGATCCTGCGCGTGGACGGAGTCAGGATATTCATGCTCAAGTAGGAGAAAGCCTTTCAAATCGGACACAATTACCAGTTGCATCCTCGAGACGCGATCGGATCTATGAACAAGCAGATAAGGGTATCGAGGTACCACACTCAACAAACATCTTCAATCTTCTCCCGCCCGCCATCCCTCGGTCCCAGATCAGCCCTCAACGCCCTCCCAAACACCTCCAACAACATCTCAAAGCAAACCTTCGACACGAACGGATCGTACCGCCCCTTGCTCAACTCGTCCCGTATAAACGCGTGCTGGGCGTGCGCCACTTCGTAAAAGGAGAAGCAGACGCCCTCCTCATGCAACGTCTTCCGGATCAAGTCCCTGCCGGCGGGCGGGACGTGGTTGTCTTTCTTGCCGAATATCTGCACGCACCCTCCATCGATCAACGTCCGATTGCGGGCCCGAGAGGCACGAAAGGGCCACAAACTCGCTTCGGCGAAAACAAAGACTCACCATCACGAGCTCGCCCTCGATGTCGCCCACGCGCTCCAGGCTGTCGTCTCCGCCGGCGCCGAGGGTCTTCGAGTGTATGTCCGTGGCGAAGTAGCACACGGCGGCGGCGACGCGCTTGTCGAATGCGCAGCGGAATGCCAAATGCCCGCCCAAGCACATGCCCGTTGTGCCGACGCGGCCGTTGCAGGTGGGGAGGGAGAGGAGGGCCGTGACGGAGAGAGCGGCGTCTTCGTCGTACGCGTGCACTTTCTGAGCGCAGTCGGGAGTCAGTCGGGGGCTTGCCGCCGGTTGCAGGGACCGGGCGGACCTTTTCGATTTTGTACTTGTTTCCATCATCGGTGCCTCGGGCGTCGTAGGCGAGGGGTTCCGGGCCTGTGAATTCGTGGTAGGAGGAGGGGGCGGCGACTATGTAGCCGTGGCCGGCCATTTGGCGGGCGAAGCGGGCGACGGGACCGGTCACTGGGGGTTCGGGTCAATTGAAGGGTTGGGGGTTGGAGAGGAAGGGAAGCGGGCCTTGGTAGATTTCGCTGAAGATGACGACGCCGGGGAATTTGGCTTGGGAAAAGCCGGGGATGACGGGGTGGTAGAGGTATATTCCTGAAATTGTTTAATAGATGTGTGACACGTAGGAATGAAGGGTGGGGGGTCGGTACGCATGCTTCCTTTGCCATCTGCGAAAGTCTCCACATCTTGGTGGGTTTCGTGGATCAACATGGTTCGATTTGACAATGAGTAGCTGTTGAGTGGTCGTGTCAAATTGAAATATCAACGTGAAAGAGAAGACGGTTGTTGACCCGCGTTTCTGCGTCAAAGCGGTTTCCTTCCGCAGAGCCCCACCACAGAGCTCTCCGGTAGCACATTTTCTGCCTTTCGAGACATCTCCATATGACAATCCAAAGGTGCTTGTGCCGCTGATCAATGTTTGAAAGAGTTGGCTTTCCTTACCAAAAGATATTGTACCTTCGCCTTCAATCCCTTCCAGAGTAGCTGAAGGAGAAACCGCCAGTGAGCATTTGACATACTAAACGAAGTAAAGTATGGACCATGCAGACGCCCTCTGGAAAGTATCCTTGTTCGCTATTAGGTGGCTCATGAGGAATATGTGGAGCTTCTTATCAATTCGGCATCTTTGCTTGAAACAGAACACAATCAAATTTGATCAATTGAACACTATTGCGTGCTATATATTCATAGAGGGGTATCTAAAAAACATACTAGAAGCGGTCAGCCAGAGGCGCCATCTGTAAGGTGGAGGACAACTTACTGGAATGAATAGATAAGGAACTTGTCGTTCATACTCTTTCCAAGCATCACCGTACTTGGCAGAACATTTCTGGATATCTCTGTAGGCTCGATGCAGAATCATTGGCGTGAAGAACGCAGCGTAGAACCAAGGAAATGGGCTATTAAAGCCAGTGACGAGGCCCCACATTAATGCCTAGCATGTCCTGTCAGCGAAACCGGGCGCTGAGAATGAGAAGCCACCCACAAAGTACAGATCACAAGTGTAGTGGATTTTGCGAGCCTTTCCATCTGTGAAGCTGATTAGTATACTTTCTAAACACCACAAACGATCAACATACACCAGCCGTCTGCCAGAAGAGCGACACCCTGATCGGTCGGAATAGTTTTTGGGTTATCGAGGTCTTGCCATGGCAGTTGGGGGAATGTCTTTCTGCTAGAAAGAGTACCGCGTTCCCATTGTCTGAATCGATTCTTTTGCGCATTGGCGGTGTCCCAAACCCAATAGAAGAACAGGTAAGAGATGTAAAGAAGAGTCAGAGCAATAGGATTCCAGTGGTAATCCGAAGGTGAATGGTTGGCTAGGTAGATTGAGCAGTGGCAATAGCTGAGCGGTACACCAGCAAGATTCCAGAAGATAAGCATGAAGCCCCATTTCTCGTAGTACATGTCCCTATCATCCGAATTAGCAAGATGCTAATGTCGATATTAGGGCCATGCCTACCACGTGGTGACGATCGATTCCTCTGCCTTGGAGCAGGCGTTCGCATATAAGAAGTGGGCCATGATGAGAAAGCCCACTTCACCAGACACGTAACCGTACCGCTCATATTGACGTGCTGCGGCGCCGCATGATACCAAGAAGAGGATATACCATGGCAACCTGACTTCGAAGAACATTTTAAAGTCCAACCATCCGAACATCCTTGGATTCAACTCTGCGCCCATGAAGAAGTCATAGACGTGATATCCGGTCATCCTGTGCTCAGCGCCGCGGTACAAGGCGGAAACGTAGGCCACAATGGAGACGATGAATCCAGAGATGATGGCAACGGACATGAGCGGTCCAAACTCGTCAATAATGGTATAAAGCTTGAAAATTCCAGAGACATGTAGTACTGCAGCAGTGACAATGGTCGTATACCAGGACCATTGTCCCGAGCAATAATATTTCAAGCTCTTGCCCCCTTCATGTTCCAATGGTTTGCCAGCCGAGTGGATACCCGGTAGATAGAGATAACATGCGGCTTGGAAGAGCAAGAAGCCCCAGTACAAGATCCAGGCCTTCATTTTTGGGAAAGCACCGTCGTAGACCAAGCCGACCAGATATGTGACGAATTCTAATTTGCTCTCTCCTTGCTTCGGCAGCGGAAGGTGGCCATCGTAATATGTCGCTCCAATCCACATATACCACATCAAGAGAGGGAAGCCAATCATCATGGCAGTGACGCCCCATGATCCGCCGAATTCAAAGTGTCCAGTGTAGTCAATGCGAGGGTCTTTGCCTTTCTTTGAGGATTTTGCATGTCCATTCGCGCTCCCGTTGAGGTTTGCGCTTCCGTTTACCTGTTTCGTTTTGCTAGCGGCCTTATTGTCACCCCTTTTTTGCATAGCATCTGGAGAGACCTCTGAGCTTCCATCCCTTGCTGTGAACTTCCGAGCCTTGGATCGTCGCGTGGGCGTTTCAACGTAGCCAGGACGCTCTGTCTTCCTAGAAGATAGTCAGTCGCCGACTCAAGAAACCAGTTATGATAAGAGGATGACGTGCGATCAGCCTGTACTAATGCAGTGGTGCAATGGGATCGTACTTAGGGGTTTCTCCCAGTTGAGAACGCGTCAATGTCATACTGACGTTACGGTCCCTGGCCCAGTCTCAGTACGAAGGGTGGCTGAATATAGCGATTATCATGAAAACTAACAGGTTGACCTCTACTTGTGCTTGGCAGAGGAATGAAAGTAATACATAGGAATGGGCATAGGAATAAATTATAAACGTTGTGGAACGCGATTTATTTCTTAAACAGGGAGAGAGGCGTACGGAGCAAGCTCCGCCGCTAAAACATCGTCATTGATGGACATGGTCATCTACTTCCCACTACCTACTTACTCTATTCTAAGGTATAAACATATGTATCTGGTAACAACAACAACAACAACAATAGAAAGTTTCGGGTAATGTATCTTTGTCAAAGTGCTCGTGTTTGTATCGTCACGGGAATACAAATATCTATCAAGTATCATCAGGCTTGGTCCAAAGTGCTACTCCTGACTCCGCTCAAAGACACAAAATTGAAGGAGAAATTTACAGTGAATTGCTTGATATGCAATTAATACCTATGTACACCCAAAATGTTCTCCTAAAATAGCGTCAACTAACACTTTGTCACTATGCGCCCCTGCGCACATTCGTAGACATTAACGTGATCTTCTTGCCCTTTTTCTTCTTGTTGCTCGCATTTGGGATTGCTTGGTTGGAACTGCTGGCTTCGAGACTGCTTGCTTCAACCTGAGCAACTAAATCCTCTTCTTGTAAAAGATCTCGCTCCCATCCCTGAAGCCAGCCATCGTTCTCTGACGGCTCATGCTCGTCCCGAACTGCAGGCATGTCTGGTGACGTGGGCACAATCATTCTTGTGCCCCATACAGTCTTGGAGGCAACAGGGCTGGTAGATGGGGACGCTAAAGAGGCAAATCCAGAGCCACCTTGAGCCCTTGATGAGGACCAAGGCGGTGATGAGGAGGCTGCTGCGAGGTCTATAGCTGACGTATCAGGTAGTGGCTGGAAATCGGATTCGGTGACAAGATCATGGGATGGGATAGGGCGTCGCCTTCTTGCAGCGGCCCATCTTTTGTCGTCCTCCTCTTTCTCTGCTCTTATACGTTCCTTCTCTTCACGGAATTCCTTTTCCCGATTCTTCTTCCGTCGTCGCTCGATCTCAACCGCAAATCCCTCGAGGACTTCCGGACTTACAACGTCGGTCCAATTACATTCAAGGAATCCGACCTCGCATCCATGAGGGAGATGTGCGAGGTATTTTGCGCGCCGTCGGAGATCATCGTCGATGATATGTCCTGTGGAGACCCGCTCTACTCGTGGAAGTATGGTTGTAGGAAAAGAAGAATAATCTCCGAACGCAGCTTTCAAAATGCGAATATCAAGGGGGGATAAGTAGTAGTGCATAAGAGCCTCATAGAAGAAGAAAGGTGGATCGTTGTGGGCATGACGAGAGGCAGCG